CAGCAACACACTAAGATTAACTGGATAGAATTGGATATAAAAGCTTCTTCATCTTCAAGGAAACATTTTGTCTCACTGGAAGCTTCCTGGCTCTGTTTCAGGTTTTATTTCACATTTGCAGAAAGAAGAACTTAGTTGAAGTTAAGTTGTTTTTGTCTGTTGACGACGAAGCAAAGCAGGAAACGACAGCAGCTCAGCGTCCTGTCTTCAAAGATTTGGTGGAGCTGGTTTGAACTCTGCCGTCTCACAACTGAGAAGCTCTGAAATATAAATGAGTTATCTTCAAACCACACGGGATTCATCTTTAGAAACTTGAGTTCTTTGAAAGCAAACTTTGGTGGAACTGGATTAAAAAATGTTGATGCCAAAGTTCACAAAAACACCAAATCTGCCAGGTTAGGTTTTTTGGGGTCTTGTAATAAATAAATAAATAAACAAACAAACAAACAAATAAATAGCTTCAATGAAGTGGCAGAAAGGGAAAATATAATTAGAGGAGTGTGCAGAATAATTTGAATAAGAGCTCTGAACGTTTCTTTTTATTGATCTCTGCAGCTGTTTTTCAGAAAAGAAAATGTGAATGTTTTTACTTTGTGAAGGGCAGAAATGTGTTGTTGTTGTTGTTGTTGTTGTTGTTGTTGGGAGTGTGAGGGAGTCTTTACTGTCATTAGGCAGCTACACTGCGGCATGTCATCATTACCTGCCTCCAGTTTGACATGACGTCACTTCTGGAGACGAAAAGACAGTTTGTGACTCGCTCAGACAAATATTTGACAACAGTAGGCTACTCTTGAATTTAACCAGGAAGTGAATCTGCATCTGGTGAACTGAACTTGAGAAGAAGAAAGAGAATGTTTGAAGTGTTTATTAGCGATTCTTCGGTCTGTTCAGGTGGTTTTTCCTGCAACGGTTGGAACAAACATCGATAGAAGAAGAGTTTACGTCTGAATCCTGCAGACGATTGTTTCCCTTCAGAGGATCATTTGATTCACGAACTTTTAACAGTTTGTTATTAGTTGTTTCAGAGCGTTCGCTGCCTCGACTGTAAAAAAACAAACCAGGCTGTGACCTCTGACCTCCGTGTAAACTCGATGATGTCGTTACGTTAAAGTCTCGTCTCGGGTTCTTTCACATTCAACAGAAATCAACCGTCGCATTTGCAAGCCGAGCTCCTCTGAGACGACCGTTGACATCCATCAGCCACGGCTCCCCGACTGACTTTGCATATGAATGACACTGGACAGGCGCTAACGTTGGCTAAAAGGCGTGAGTACGTGTCGGCTTTCTGCACGCCATCATTGTCTTCCTCGCCTCCTCGAAGCCGCCGAGCAACCGACTTTTTTGCGTGCCGGCGTGTTGGCGACTCTTTTCAGCCGAGCCGCAGCGGTTGAGGAGAAGTCGTGCGTGGATTTGTTTTTATGTAAAATATTATTGTGATATTTACGTCCAATTTCAATAAGCGGTCAGAAAAATAAAGCAGACGTTGTATGTGGGTTTGGAGCGAAAAGCGAAGACACAAAGAGAAACACAACGTCCACTTTTACCGACATTGTTTCTCTCGGATCAGATTCACTGAACGGCACGTCGACGCGTCTGATAAACAAATTGGGTTTTTTTTTCTGTAACCTGCGAGGATCCTAGCGGTCAAAGATCAAATCCCTTAACCACGTCAGGAAAATTAGAAGAACCACATGGAAAAATACTCTTTACGAAGATATTATATTTGACTGGTTTGAAGTAAATGTATTCATTCAGATGAGAATGAGAGTTTTAATGTTGTCTTTGGTTCAGGTGGAGTTTATATTTTATTTTTCTGTGCTTTGCATGATCAGATAAACCAAGTGGAGTAAAAAGTATTTCATCTGAAGGCAAGGCAAACCTTTTTATTTATTATACTTTCCATTACAATAAAACAATGTAATTAAGTTTTATTTAAAAAAAGTAAGAAAAACATGAAAAATGTCTCAAGTTACCAGATGACTTGTTTTTATCTCAAACACAAAGATATTCTGTTCATTGAGATATAAAAGTCAAACATGCACATTTAAGAAGCTGGTTAGAAGCAAATGTTTGACTTTCCTGCTTGAAAAGTGACTCCAGACAAATATAACGTTCACTTAAACTGATATTGATTCTTTTAAGAGTCTAAAATACGTCCACAGCAGAACATTGTCGTAAAGCACTGACTCTGGAGAAGTACCTCGTACAACCACACTTCTAAATATCTGAACTATAGAACTCTAAATATGAACATATATATCTGTGTCTTCATTCAAATCTATCCATGTCTGATGCTTTGCTAGAACAATACTTCTGGTGTTTCTGTGAGGCCCGGTTGGGTGACATGTTCAGCAGGCTCTGTGAAGGTTAATGTTCTACTCACATTATGTTTATCTTCATAATTTTGGGTTAAAAATTCACATATTCTCCAAAAAAGAATATTGACTGTGACGTCAATCAATAAAAGATGCTCAATCATTCAAGTATCAGCTCTCTATTAATAAAACGAAACATTTGATTTTAAATGTAAAGCGCAGCAGCAATAGAGACGTTTACTCATTTAGTTATAATGGTAGCATTATTATAATCACAAGCTTCATCATAATGTTTTATTTGCTGGATCGATTTAAGTTTCCAGTTATTTATTGTCTTCAATCTCAGAATCCCTCCTAAAGAAATACGGTGTGAGTCTTGACGTCGTGGTGGAGTATAAGTATAAACTTCTTCAACCATTATGTCCACGTTCTTGGAAGTAGTTAGTTTGAACATCTCTGACTGTTTGCTTCTTTTTAGACTTGATATCTGTAAAAGTTCAGTTCATCTGCTGTTTGATCAGCGTCGCGATGGTCCCGGTGTGTTAGAGTTCAGTTCATCGTGATTGAGATCTTTACTTTTCTATCGTCAGCAGTCTGAGAAAAAACGTGACATCATTTCGATTTCTCTTCACTGCAGCTTTGTGTTTGTTAATCTCTGTGCTGTTTGTGTTCAGGGGATGACAGCAGTCCTGAGAACCTGCTGCTTCACGGTCCGTTCTCCAGGAAACCCAAAAGGATCCGGACGGCGTTCTCCCCGTCTCAGCTGCTCCGTTTGGAACGAGCCTTCGAAAAAAATCACTACGTGGTCGGAGCTGAGAGGAAGCAGCTGGCCAGCGGGCTGTGTTTGACAGAAACGCAGGTAAGCATCACGGGAAGAGGGACGGCGGCAGACTGAGGAGGAGGAGGGCATGATGAAGAAAACATGCAACGCTTATGACAATAAGAATATTAAAAAGTAAGAGAGTTAAAGCAAAACATAACTTTTCTGATGTCATTAAAAGTATAGTTTATTATAAAAAATCATAAAAAAGTCATAGTATAGTATGTCATAAAATATCATAATATAGTACATCATTAAAAAAGTTTAAAAAAAGACATTGTATAGTATGTCATGAAAAGTCATAAAAAGTAATTTTATAGTTTGTCATAGTAAAGTGTAGTATGTCGTGTAAAGTCAAAGTGTAGTATGTTACAAAGAAATTCATAAAAAGTCTAGTTTAAAAATATAACAGAACATATGGTTGGCTGGATGAAAACTAGCTCAGTGATTCTCAACTGGTGGACCCGTCTTCAGCGGGTCGCGGTCCTTTGCCTGAAGAAAAAGAAAGAAATCCTGTGGTTTTGTTTTATTTTTTAATGCAGCGGAGTTATTCACACTTCTTAACAGTATTTGGTGTCAATGCCTTGTAATGCTAATGTAGACACCCGCCATTTCACAGTATAGAAGAACACCCACAAAGTTTGTTTTCATGCTGATTGAGCGAAACGCAAGAACGACACCGACTGCATGAGATGTGGATTTTCTTACGTTGAGGACAAAAGAGGGAAAAACCTCGGTGTGTTTTGTGCAGCGAGGTTCTGGCGCAAGAAAGCATGAAGCCGTTTTACTCGTTTACGTGACGTTCAATAGAATAGTAAAATAACAAATATAACTTCAACAATATAGTATACTTGAGTTTTACCTTAAAGTAATTCAAGTGTTTGCATGTATTTAGGAAATCAAACCTCAAACCCTGCCGGTGTTAGTGCCTTGCTCATGAGACTTAGTCCAGTATATGTTTCTCAGGATGAAGTCAGATACGCTCTGATGTCAGGTTGTGTTTCGTGCGTCTGGCTGTGATCCAGATCGGAGGAATGATGGCGGGGGAAGTGAGTCTGCGGTTAGTCATGCCGAGGCGCTCCCTCCCTCCCTCCTCCCTCCCTCCTTTTTCTCAGGAGTGATTGACAGTGTTTGTCATCAGGTTGCCACGGAGATAAGAGTCCTGGCGTCAGTGAAACGATGTGAATCATCCACGATTATTTATTATCTCATTTTACAACAGGGAGAGAGCGAGAGAGAGAGAGAGAGAGAGAGAGAGAAATCCATCAATCAGCAGAGAATCACAGCCATCAACAGCTATTAATCACACGCAAATTACACTTTTGCAATCATTGCACTTTTATAGACGATAATGATTGAGCATCAGCGTTCCTTTAGGAGATCTCAAGGCTTTGATCCAAAAACCCTTAAAATATCAGAGTTAATAAACGGCTGTCAAATCAAAACGTAGATTTAAAAACTGAGCTGACGATTTTATTAAATCCACCACGGTGACAATTCAGTTTTATTAGTGCTGCAAGAAATATTGAGATATTTACTGCAGTGAAAGAATATACATGTACTTAGAGTAGTTCAAGTAAAAGTATTGATTGATCAGTAGAATGTTTTCCTATTCTATCCGAGGTTTCTGGATTAATATTCCTGCTGCAATAATGTGTATGTTGCATCACAACTGCTTTATATCTTGTTGGCTGGTTTATTCTCCAGCAATGCATCATATTTTACAAGATCATGATATCTTTGTAGCGTCGCTGTCCTGTGAGAACCACGTATAGAGACAAACTATTATCACAAACATTCAACATCAACACATAAAGAAACACTTCATCCTTCAGTTTATCACAAACATTCATCAACACATAAAG